GCTGAGTCTGATAGAAATGGATGCCAGTCTCAGCTCTGCTGTGCACTCACCTAACTCTCCTCAGCAAGCCTCAGGGCAGCGCAGAGGGATACGCCCTGGATGGGTTCAGATCTCAGCTGGAAGTGACAGACATATGAGGAAGTGAGAAATGATAAGATGTCTGTATTCTCTTAAAATAACGTGGGGAAGCAAGTTGGAGGGGATGGAGATGAAATAAGGTTGGCTATGAGCTGATAACTGTTGAGGCTAGGCCAGTGGTAGGCAAACTGCGGCTCGCGAGCCACATGCGGCTCTTTGGCCCCTTGAATGTGGCTCTTTTACAAAATACCACGTGCGTGCACACACATACAGCGTGATTGAAACTTCGTGGCCCATGCGCAGAAGTCGGTTCTCGGCTCTCAAAAGAAATTTCAATCTTTGTATTGCTGATATTTGGCTCTGTTGACTAATGGGTTTGCTGACCACTGGGCTAAGTGAAAGGCTTATGGAGGGCCTGTTATACCATTTTCTCTATAGCCTACTTTGGGTGACCTCATCTGCATATGATTGAAAATCTCTAGAATGAAAGGTAAAATAATAATAACAATAACACTGAAAACATAAACAACAAAATTATGTCCATGCATTATTATGCTTTAAAATCTCCTCAATTGAGAGCAGCAAGATGAGGCTCTCTGGGTCAACTCTACCTCTGACGAGGTGTGTGACCTCAAGCTACCCCCGTTCTCTTGCTGAGCCTCAGTTTCCTCTTCTATATAAAGTAAATATTCGAATGGCTTCATGGATTTGTGAAGTTTAAATGAGATAATATAGGATAAAGTGGGCTGGAGTCCATAACAGGTCTGCCTGAGTTCTGCAGTCACTCTGAGCATGACTAGGCCTCCAGCCACCGCGGTGAGGAACTCCAAGCCACTATGTACAGAAGAGGCCATCAGAGGGCCTCTCTGGGATATGCCTCACCTTCTGGGCAACTTTTACCCTTTTTCAAAGCACAGGTCGTTCATCAACCAGAAGGCCCCCTTTTATTTTCCTCTGCCTTTCCTTACGGCTTAAAGGTCACCCAGCACAAAGACACCAGGGTCACTCTGGTATAGATGGGGGCAAGGACTGAATGGAGAGAAAGGCGTGGGCTTTGTCTGCTGGCCTTGCTCCTGGCTTCCAGGAGCTGGTCTCCGTTTCCCCATCTGTGTCAGGGACTGGTAAAGTGATGGCGCTTGGTAAGGGGGAAGCCCTAGGAAAGAATCAGCGGATGAGAACGAATGAATGCATGCCTGTGTGGGGACCACATTCGTCTGACAGACAAGCTGCCCTGCTGGAACCTCCAGGGTGGCGGTGGGAACTCCCAGAATTGGGGAGGGGTCCGTGACACCCGGGCCACCTCCTCTGGGATAGGGAAAGAAAGCAAGAGAAACACAACAGCAGAAGCTAGAGCAGGTGGAGAAGCACAGAGGGAATCGTTCGCTGCAGGAGAGGAACGAGTAGTTACGAGGAGGAGACTCTCAGACACGGCTACAAAGCCCAGCGAAGGAGAAGAGGGGTCTTAGGATGACCATCTTGGCACCCTGCGCACTGGCCAAAGATCCGCCTATCCTTCCGCTCCGCAGCGCCGCCTGGCGGAGACGCTGCGCTCTGCTGCGGGATCAGCAGCAGCAGCAGCAGCAGGCCGGTGGGCTGGGAATCTCGCCGCAGTTCTGGAGAAAGCCAGAGAGAAATCGGGGCACACCGCCGAGGCGCATTTGTTCCCCGAGGGGGAGCGGATCCAAAGCAAAAAAAATATTGCCACCTTCTCGTCTCTAACCCAGCGCTCAGGGTGACTCAGCTCCGACTCAGTTCCGTCCACCACGTCGGGGGGACGCACTCTCCTCCCAGTGCCCGGTGTCCAGCTCTGAAATCTTGCTGCCTCTGAATAGTTTCTGCCGGAAGGAGGTCTCATTAAAATGTCAAGGCATTTTGGTTTTGAGTTTTGGTAATCAAATACTATGAGTTGGTACAAAGGCACACACGTGCCCCGTTGGTCTCTCCCTGCCAGTCCCAGACCTGACATTCTAGGGCTGGACAATTTCTAGCGGGCACTGGCGGGCGGGGTGGTGGCCTCGGGACCCCAAGTGTGAGGACGAAGGAGGGCAAAGCTTGTGGAGCAGAGTGGCCAGCGGCGCGTGGCTGGTGCTGGGAAGGGTGAGCGGGGCCTGGCTTTCCCTGTCCCAAGCTCCGGTCTCGATTTGGGCCCCACCACCCCCTCGAATGCCCTCCCTCCCGCTATGCAGGAGGGTGGTGTCTGTCTGAGAGCCCGGGGGTGACGAGCCTCTCCAAAGGCCGGGGTTCCCGAGGATCCAGGCCCTGCCAGGCTGCACCCAACCCCTCTCTTAGCTGGACCAAAGTGGGATTGGCGCGGGGGCGTCCCGGACACCGCCGGCCCGGGTCCTCTTCTGGAGTCCGGAGCTCAGGCTGCAGGATCCGAGGCGCCAGGGGCTGCCCTCCCCGGGGTCTCGGAGTTGGAGCCCGGGTCTCCGTTCAGTCCTCCCCCGGCGGGGGCCCGGCAGCTCCCCGCGGGTAAGGTCGCCGGGCCCGCTGTGCGCGCCACCCGGGGAGAAAGGCCCGGAGCCGGGAGGCTGGCGCTGGGAGGAGGATGGAGACTCTCCAAATCCCCCACCCCCGCGCCAATGGCGGCGGGAGCGGCGCGATCGCCTGGCCGAGCGAGGCCCGAGGCCCGGGACGGCCTCTGCGCGGCGGCGGGAGCCTCCCGAGGCCGCAGGGGGAGGTTGGCGCCGGGGAAGGCCGGCGGCTGGGGAACCCAGGGCTGCCTGACCCTGGGGAGAGGGGGTTCGGTGCGCGCTCAGCGTCACGGCGCCCTGGTGCCGGGATCCGAGCAAAGGCGCCCAAACAGCCAGGAGATCAGTCACCCCAGGCCTGGGTGTGAGTGTGTGTTTGTGAGCAGGAAGAGGGTTGGGGAGTGCGTGTACCGAACCGCACCCCCCTCTCTTCCAGCCCCCCCAAAGAAAAGGTTAGGGCTCCTGTCTGCGCGGATCCACGGGCGCCCCAGGCAGCCCGGTCCCGCCGACCACACCGGGGAGCAGGGAGCGGCGCGCCGCGGGGACCGGGCCGGACGGAGGGTCCCCCGCGGCTTTGCGGGGCGCAGCGCTCAGCCCAGCATGGCCCTCGGCGCCCACCGGGCCGCCCCGAGAGGCCGAGAGGGATGGCCAGGACCTGCCGGGGTGGAGTTGGAAGGGGCTTCCGGGTCCCCTGCCCCGGCGCCCTCTCCTGCGGCCCAGACCCGGACAGAGCACCGGCCGCAGAGGGATCGGGACGCGGAAGGACAGCCTCGGCGCCGGCGAGCCGGGCGTCCGGGCTCCGGAGAGGAAAGAGCCGGGGGAGGGGGGTGCTGGGTGGAAGGGGGTGTCTGGGGGGATCGGCTGGCGGCCATCTCTGGCCCTGGGCAGCCAGAAGAGGAAAGGGACAGCAAGATCACTTTCCCCCTGAGAGATGGCAGGGTTTCGGCGCGCTCTCCCGAACCCCGTTAACCCCGGGAAACAGGTTCCCGAGGCCCCGGTCACCCAGCCCGTCCCGGCCGCGGCCCGGACCAGAGAGGCTTGGGGAGCAAAGAGGGGACCGAGTGCCGAGTGCCGAGCACCGCACCTCCCCTGCGTCCGGACTCCGGGCGAGTCGTGGCCTGCGGTGCTCTCTGTTCAAAACGAAACCCCAACTCCTAAAAAGCTCAAGAGGAAAGGTTTAAAAAATCATTTTCTTTCACTTTTAATAAACAGGCTGCTAGGAGAAAAAGAGGAAAACGAAACGAGCGATATAGCTAAGGACAAGATATTTTCAGATGGTTAAGTCCCTTCTTGAAAAGTATTTTTCCCTAAGACCGAGCCCATCGCGGGCCAGCCCTTCCGAGGCCTTTGCCTCTCCCGGAAAATCTCAGCAGAACAATCGAAACCGCCGCCGTCCTGGGCAGGGGTGGGCACGAGGCCCAGGGAGCCCACCGTGGCTGCCTTTGCTCTTCTTTCTCTTTCACCAAAAACATAAAAATAAAAATAAAAAAGATAATAAGAAGTAAAACCTTTTAATACATCAAATATACGGAATTTTAATCTTTAAAGCGATACATTGTCTATTATTTTAGTACATGACGTAAACCTTACTTGTCCCCTTTTCAGCGGGTGTACTTAAAAATTAAAAATAGTTAAGTGTTCCTTTTAAAGAACAAAATAAGGCAAATGAGGTTTTGGAATAGAATTGTTTTTCCTTTTTTTTGTTGTTGTTTTCTTCCAGAATACATACAAAAAAATACCCATTCTCTTCCAATGGTATACACCTTAAAAATAATTGCAATTTGAAATCAGAGCTGACAAATCGTGACTTGTTTTGTTTTCGTTTTTTCATTTTTTTGGTAACAAACATGCATGTAAGTTGTGTGTTTCAATCAGACATTAAATAAGAACGTACAATACAATCATAGCAATTTCAAAGTAACATTAAAGAGAAGACCTCTAGTTCTGTGGTGGTTTTGTATTTATTTATAATCTACAAGGGTCGGGAGGGTTCGTTTTTTCATTTTTAAATCCCCCTCTTCCTTTCTCATTTTCCCCCTCTTCCTTTTTTTATTTTTTTATTTATTTTTTTTTATCTACGGAGCTCGAACTAAATAATGCACTTTAGAACCATGGTCCGCTTGGAGCTAACATAAATAAATACCAGTGTCCACCGATGCAAGTCCTCCGATGGACATTTTCTCAATTATTTTTTTTCCTTCTTTTTTCTATAAAAAGTCAAATGATATTTTTTTTTCTCCAACTTTTATAAAGTTTGGGTGGGAAGGGGAGGCAGGGAGCAGACAGATACGGGCGGGCGTCTCTATAGTGTTTCCTTTCCCGGCCCGGGTCATCCCCACATGCGAGGGTGACAGTAGCTTCTCCCGCTGTTGGTTACCGCCCCTCCCGGGGCTCCTCCCTTCCCCCCAGCTCCTTCCTTTCTCTCCGGCGGTGCTCGCCCCGGCGCCCCCCTCACTGGTAGCCCAGCGCCGAGGCGGTGGTCAGTCTCTGTCCGTAGAGGGCGTAGGGGGAGTAGTAGGGTCCGGTGGCCGCGGGCACGGGCACGGGCGCGCCGGGGGTGGGCAGCGGGCTCTTGGAGTAGGGGTGGTAGCGGCTGCTGAGTCCCAGCGCGTGGTGCGGGCTGCGCAGCGCCAGCGCCCCCGGGCTGCCCGGCGCCCCCGACGACGTGGGGATGTGCATGTGGCAGGCCATGGCGGCCGCCGCGGCGCTGGCCAGCGAGGACGAGCTGGGGTAGCCCGACAGCAGTTTGTCCGTCCCCGGGAAGGCCGTGTGGGTCCGCAAGTGGCTCAGCAGCTCTTCGGACGTGGCGAAGCGCTTGTCGCACGGCCCGTTCGCCGACACCCAGTTGCAGATGTGGGGCAGCGGGTCGTTGGGGAGCATGAAGCCGTAGGGGTAGAGGGGGTGGCCGGCCAGGGAGGGCGGCGTGGCCCCGGCGGCCGTCAGCGACGAGTGCACGCCGTGCAGCGGGTGCGCGGGGTACACCAGCGGGTACCCGGACTTGAGCGCCGCCGCCGCAGCCGCCGGGTCGTGGGCGCACGAGGCGCTGGCGGCCGCGGCCCCCGCCAGGTGGCTGGCGCAGTGGTAGCTCAGGCAGTACGGGTCCCGGCACAGGCTGGCCGTCATCACCGAGGGCGGCGACGCCCCGGCCAGGGGGCTGGAGCCCGCCGGCTTGCTGCAGCCCAGGGAGCCCGCCGCGGCCGCCGCCAGCTGCGCGCCCACCAGGCTGCCCGGCTTGGTGGGGTCCAGGGCCACGCCGTGCGGCAGGAACTGGGGTGGGTAGCCCGCGTAGGCCCCCGCCAGGCTGCCCGGGTAGGTCATGCCCGCGGGAGGCAGCGGGAACACCGTCTGGCCCGGCTTGTAGGGCGACACCGGGGCCACCAGCCCGGAGCTCAGCACCGAGGAGGCGGCGGGTGCGCTGGGGCCCGAGCCGGAGCTGGAGCCGGACGAGCCGCCGCCGCAGTCCGAGCCCAGAGCCTTGCCCCCGGGGCCCCCGTCTGGGTGCTGGTTCACGTCCACGTTCATCCCGCCGCCGCCGCCGCAGCTAATCCGGCCGTGAGCAGCCAGCCCGGCGGGCGCCCCATCGGCCGAGGCGCCCCCAGAGCCCTTGCCGCCGCCTCCGCCGCCGCCGCCGCCGCCGCCCGCGTCCGGGTCCTTCTTGTCCAAGTCCTTGCCCTCCGGGCCGCCCCCGGCAGAAGGCAACATGCCTCCCGGCGAGCAGGCCGAGGCGCTGGAGCTGGGGCTGCCTGTCCTGGGCGTGAATGGCTGGCAGGTGGCGCTCGGGACTCGGAATCCGGACTTCTCCGCCGACACCCCCCCGCCGCCGCCGCCCCCGCCGCCGCCGCCTCCCGGCTCCTTCTTATCCGAGCCGGGCTTGGAGTACGGCTTGAAGCTCGACTTGTCCTCCACGCCGATGTCGCTCAGCTTGAGGGGCCCGGGCTTGCCGTCCTTGTCGCTCCCGGCGCCGCCGGCACCGCCCGCGCCGCCCCCGGTGGAGGCGACGGAGGAGAGTTTGGAGGAGGGCGAGGGGTCGGGCTTCCCGATCTGTGAGCAGGTCTGCGCCAGCAGCGCCAGCGGGCTCTTCTTCGCATCCAGCTGCGGGGTCATTGGGGGGTGGGGGTGAGGTGGGGGTGCACAAAAAGAAAGAAGGCGAGATCCTTTAGAACCCTGGCTTCTAGGATCCAAACGCCCCTCCGCCGCCGCCGCCACCGCGAAGATCCTCCTAACCCGGAGGCTCAATGCCAGGCGGCACCCCCTGCACACACACACACACACACACACACACACACACACACACACACACTGTACACACACACACACACACACACACTGTACACACACACACACACACACACACACACACACTCGTCCTTGAGAAAGGTAGCAGACACCCCTCTCTCCCAAACTGGGCCTTCCATGCCCTTGCTAAGCGCTAAACTGGGTGTTTTTGTTTGTTTGTTTTAAATCCACTAAATATTTTGGTTTCTGACTCCCAGATCCAGAACTGTAGGTCCCCCTACCCTCACCCCATCCCTAATTCTCCAGAGTAAGGGCTCAGGAGGTTTGCGCCCCAGAAGCTGTGAATCAGCTTCAGGGGAACCCGAGGACTGCCACTTCGGAAGCCGTATTTTGGGCTCCCGTCCGTTGTCTGGGCAGAAAGCGGGCCTGGGTCGGGCTAGGCGCTTCCATCCCAAAGGGAAGAACAAGTTTGGGTGCCTTGCCCGCTCACAGTCACACCCCAGGGTACCTCCGCCCTAGTTTGAAGGTGCGGGAGCCCTCTCCTCTCTTCCCACCCGGGAGCTGAATCACTTCGACTCCCACCCCCTACACCCCCAACACCCCCAACTTGCACGCCCCAGATCCCAAGAGAAATTCCGTGATGCGAAAGCCAGGATGATGGTCACCATCCCAGCGCGATCCGGGGGAGAAGGTCCTTACCTCGATGGGGCTGACGGGCGTGGAGGGCAGGGGCTGCAGGTACTCGGGGTGCAAAATGTGGCCAGTCCGTGCGGTCAGCATCTTCAGCACCTTGATGGGCAGCCGGTTGGCCTGGCGGAGAGGGTCCGAAGGGGGCACGGCGTGCACAAAAGGCTTGGTGCTGCCGGCCGGGGACGAGCCGGGGCCGGGGCCGCAGCTATTTCCAGAGAGCGCGCTGGTCCAGGCCGGGTCCGCGCCGCCGCCGCCGCTGTGCTTACTGCTTCTCAGGGCAGAAAGCGAGGGCGCTGTGCTCATGACCCTCCCGCGCGCATGGGAGCAGCGGGGGGCGGGCTCCGGGAGGCGCGGGGCGGGCTCGGGGCTGCGCGCTCGCCCGGGGAGCGGGAGCCGCAGCAGCGGGAGGAGGAGGAGGAGGAGGAGCTGGCGCGGCGGCCACCAGCGCCCAGCGCGCTGCCTTCTCCGCTGCCGCCGGAGCCAGAAGCCAATAATCCCGGGCGGCTGGCAGCGGAGCCGTGGCCGATCGGCGGGAGCCGGCGGGACTGCAGGACCGCCGGGGGGCTCGCCGTGTCCGCCCCGGGCTGCGCCCCTGCGCTGCGCGCTCGCGGCCCGGCGTGGGCGCTGCTCTCTGCGGTGTGTGCGAGCCGCCGCCTGTCCAGCCGGGGCTCTGGCGAGGAAACTCACTTCCAAAGCAGCTGCACCAAGGGGGAGATGAAAGCCTTTGCCGCCTTCCAATCAAATGGGAGCCCGAGGTGATTGGAGGGTCAAGGGGATGTGACGCGTCCCGCGCCGCCGCCGCCGCGGCCCGGACTCCCAGCGCCGGTTTTAATGGGCAGCTCCCAGCTCGCCGCCCCCAGCCCCCCACCTCCGCCGCTAGTCCCCTCCCTCGATTTCGATCCGAAGGGTAGCTGGACTTTTATTATTCTACGTTTGCTATCTGCCGCCTCCCTCTTTTTTTTTTTTTCTCCCCTCTTCCTGTCGTCCTTCCTTTTTTCCCAGCTCGAAAATAAACTGAAACCTTTTGCAGGAGGGTGCATGTGACGAACGGACGGAGGTGGTGGCGTTGGATCGGAGCACCGGCAGACGCTGGACCAACAGCCGGACTGTCAGTGCCCGGGGCGTCCAGGGGCCTTGAACACCAAATAGCCTCTCCTCCTGTGTAATGGAAATCTCTCTCGTGGCGCGGCCAGGGTAAGGAAGGGTTGGGGAGCGGGCTGCTGGAGGAAGTCCGCCCGCCCGATTTGATTTCCCAGGATTCGGCGGCGGAGAAACCAGAAGCTCGGTGGGCAGCGGCGGCGGTTAGTCTCCGAGTTGTGCGCTGGGCTCCCCGCCCTCCGCGGCCACGTGACGCCCGGGGACTCGCAGATTGGGGCAGGGCCCGGGGTCACATGGTTCCTCTGTTTCACACTCAGCCCCCACTTCTTACTCTGCCCTGCCACCCTCTCCTCTCTCTCCTACCCGGTCTCCCCCCCTCCCCCGCCAAGTTCTCTGGGCATCTCCACCCCTCCATCAATTGTCAATGTTCCTCGACCGCAATCAATCAGTTATTTGTCAGCTCTTGTCAATCCGCCCGTGATTTATGTCAGCTTTTGTTGCTGATTACAAGGCGGGTGCGACTGGAAGGGGAAAAAAGAAGGGAGAGAGAGAAAGAGACGGAGAGGAAGGAAGAGATCCAGGGGAAGCCGGAGGAGGAGGAGGAAAGGGGAGCAGCCTCCGGGGACGGGAGGGGATGGGGGCTCTGAGGAAAGAGAAGGAAAGAGGAGAGGGAGGCGCTTGGCGTCAGGAAAGATGAACAGGGAGGGGAAAGTGCGCAGGTGCGGCCAGGCAGGGTGCCGAGAGGGGTGCGAGGCCTGGGGCACGCGCCTCACCCCTCCGGGTGTCGGAGGCAGACACACGCCCTTCCCACGTTTGGGGACTTGGGTATGTTGGGGCCTCGGAGTTCGGAGCGGCTTCTGGTACCCGAGACGGGCGGCGGGGATATCTGAGATCGGAGATTTTTCCCCCCTCTCTCTCTCCCCTGGAATATCCATTCCCTGGGGGGTACGCAGTGTGCGGGTGCCAGGCTGCTAGCCTGCTGCGGACCATTCCACCCTCCGTAGGGCCCTGATCCCAAACGGGGCGACTTCTTCCTAAGCCCCCATCACCAGTGTAACCTGGAGTCCCGGCGGTCCATGGTGGGGTATCCCTCTCAATTCTTTGAACCCCGAGGTGGGGGAGTGGGGGTGGTGGTTAGGGCTGAAAGGCTGCGAAGAAGAGGCCTGGCCATGGGGGTATGGAGAGGGAGACTCTGGCCGCTTCCCCAATCCTTCTCCACTGCGCCCATGCTAGCGGGCTTGGCAGCAGGGTTACTCCGAATCCGTGGACCGCGTAGCCGGCACTGCCCTGCGCTGGGAGAGCAGAGGGAAGGAGCGAAGGAGCGAAGAGGGCGAGAGGCCGCCTGTGGGAACGCGGGCTCTTCCCGGGAAGCGGAGCGGGGCTGCTGCGTTCCCCTCGATTTGCATCGTCACTCGGCTGTTTGGGAGCAAGAGGGGAGGCGCTGTGCGTGTGTCCGTGTACCTGGTTCTGCGTACACGCGTGTGTGTGCATGACTGTGCCGCCGGGTGCGTCGTCAGGGCTTTGATCGCGTCTGGATCGAGTCGGGGGGTCACCTTCAGAAAGTCGCAGATATTGGAAAGGGGGGGCGGGGGCGGGAGGAGAACACACCCCCCCCTTCCGTGGAAGGACTTGGAAGACTTTGAGTCTCCCCCCCTTTTCCGCCCCGACTCTTTTTTTGTTGTCAATCCTTTTGATACATGGCGGGGCCCGGGGCGCAGGGAGCCGGGCGGACACGGGTGTCCCCCGCGCCCTCCGGGCGGGCAGAGTCCCGCACACGCTCGGGGCGGGTTTCGGACCTGCCCTCCGCGGCGCTCGCCCCCTCCTCTGTACCCATCCCGGTCCCCTCTTCCTCCAGTTTTTTGCCTCTGCCTCCCACTCTGAACAGGTACCGAGAACTTTTCGGGGTGAGTTTGAGAATTTTGTTGTAGGCATTCTTTTCCTGCGTTTTTAATCTTGTCCCTTGATCCTTCAGGTTGACAAACTCCATGGGATGGCAACTTGGCTAAAGATACCTTGTGAAGAGGCGAGTGAGGCGGAGTGTGTTTGTTGGTGTGAGTATGTGCGTGCGTGAGGGTGTAAGGACACACCTGCATTCAGGGGGGTTGGAGGGTCTGTCTGCGAGCGCCGAGGAAGCGAGTTGGGGAGCGGGCGGCAAGGCTGGGAAGGTTGTCTTGATCACCTTTGGGGAGCAAGTCCCAGTTGGTCCCAAACTGCCTGGGGAGAGCAGCGCGTTGTGAAGTCGCCGCGTCCTGTCCTGCGGGGCGGGTGTGTGTGTGTCTGTGCCGCTGAGTGCAAGGCTGTCGAGGAGCCCGCCTGGATCCGCCGTGGAGCTCCCAGCCGGGCGTCCCAGGCCTCTCCTCGGGGCCCAGACACTGAGTGGTAAGGGCGGTAGCCATAGCTGGAAGGGAACACGGGAGTGCCCACCCCCCTCCATTCAGTCCCTTCCCTCTTCTGGAACTGGGTGCGGCAGCCCCGGCACCCAGAGCCTGGGAAACCAGAGGGTGGCCCCTGGGTCCCTCGGAGCGGGTCACCCTTCCACAGGCCTGCAGGTCCGCGCACTCACCCTTCCCCAAACCCAGGCGCCTGGGTTCCCCAAACCCAGGCCTCTGCTCCCGAGCTCTCAGGAGGATCTGAGCAGGGCTTTGGTGTGTGTGGTGGGGGTGTCTGAGCAAGCTCCTCTCGCCCGGAGGCCCAATCCTCCTAGGCCAGAGAGCCGTGGGGGTTTATTAATTACTCGGCGCTAGGCCTAATGCCTCCACCCCCAGCGGCGGTTGGCGTGGATGTCCTGTGGATTTTATTTGCACACAATGGAAATGATTTGTCTCCTCTGAAAAAGGAGTGGGCATGGCAGATACCCGAGGAGAGGGGGGCGGGAGGAGAAAGAAGGAGAGAGAGTGGAGGCAAAAAAAGTTTGAAAATGCCTTGAACTATTCACTGTCGAGATGGCTAATCAGTATTGAGGCCGGAGGGCAGGCGGGCCGCCTTTCACTGCCGCTTCCCTTTCATCTCGGGCTCGGCGGAGGCGCTCAATTAAAAGCCTATCAGTTTGTAAGTAAATCAACGCCTATCAGAGTTGTCACATCAAACAAAACGATTATTATTGCAGCCCGCCTCCCCTATTAATCTCCCTCGAAGATAATCCGCCTGACAGGTCAGGCCCGGCGAGCTGGAAAGCCCGGCCCAGAGCGCCCAAAGAGTCTCGGACCGGCGCCCCCCCCCAGCGCCCCCCCCCAGCAGGGCCCCGCCCTGTGTTCCCCGAGGAGGGGGGAGAGAAGGGAGCGCTGGAGGCTGAGGGACTCAGGGCTGACCCTCCGGATCGGGAGCCGGGCCTAGATTCCAGGGCTGGTAGGGGGAGGTTCCGGTGGCCTTTCCTCTTCTGGAGAACTTGAAGGTACCCACCTTGCCGAAACCAAAGCCTGGCCGGTTCCCCGAGTCTCCACACGGCCTGCACTCTTCTCCTTTCTCCTCCCCTGGCTTTCTCCCCCTTACCCCCCACCCCCCATCTTCTCTCTCTCTCTCTCTCTCTCTCTCTCTCTCTCTCTCTCTCTCTCTCTCTCTCTCTTATGCCTCTCCCTAATCTCTCCTTCTCTTCCCCCGCCGCTTCCTTTCCCCCTGCCAAGGAATATTTCCTATCCTCTCCCTCTTCTAGGTATGCAGTCCCACTCTCTGAAGAAGGGCCTTCTCAGGGCCCGGGTTCTTCCTCTGAGCCAGGGCTGCCTCACGAGTGTGTGCAATTTCTAGGAACTCGTGACCAACTCCTTTCTAATTTTCCCTCAAACAGGGGCTCTCAAGAAGTCTGTGTCTGTTTAAGGGTTGATTGCATTTGGAAGGGTGAGAAAATAAAGACCAGGGCAGTGACATGGGTGGGCAAAGTTGCAAGCACCCCATTCATCCTAGAATTAGAATTTGGTCTTGGAAATTTCATTTCTGCTGCAGTGTCTCTGGCCTCGCTGACGGCATTGCTTGGGCTGTTGCAAATACTCGGAGACCCACCAGGCATCTGGCCTCGGCACCTATGGGATCCTGTGAAGGGGTGCCTAGCATGTCAGAAGTAAATACACCCAGACAACTGCTTCTGTGACTTCACACTGGCCCTTGGGGGGGGGGCAGGTGGTCTTGGTAGCCTCCTGGGAGTGAAAACATGGCCTTCCTTCAGGTGTTCTCTGGCTTTTCTCTCTGCGACCCTCCCTTTCCACACGCTAGCTCCAAATCCATAGGCCCAAAAGGCCACTGCCCTAGCCGGTGGAACCAGAATTCAGAGGTGGTTCAAATATTTTGAGGGGGAAGGGCTGCCCATAGGCTCCCAGGTCCTGCTATCCTAAAAGCCAGGTTCCGGAGCCCAAGGAAGGCTCCCTCACTGCTCATGAATCTGGGAACCCCACTTCGCTGCCCCCACGGTGGGGCAGTACAGGTGGTCTGGGCCCAGCTTCTCCCATCAGTCATATGGGAGTGGAGTCTGAGCCCCCCTCAGGGGGCTGGGCGCCAGAGATGCAGGACCTGTGACCCCCAACCCCGGGTTTCCGAAGCCTCTCAATTTGTATGTATTCTCCACGCTGGCCTGGTAGGAATATTTATTCCTATCCACACAAATATTGTAGCGATGCAATGGCTCAGTTACCTGCGCGCCTGTTTTTCTTAAATGTATCTTACCTCTGCCATGCCACAGATGTTTAAGGAGGTACACACACCCCTCGATGCTGTGGAACTCACTCTGGCTATAGGCAATATTGGGCGGTGTGGTTATTTGGACATAAGTATTATCTCGAGCCTAGATTACGTCCAGGCAGGGGCTGTAAAAAGACCTTAGAATTTTTCCAACGTAACTGCATGTGCACACAGTGAGAATTTAATAATATTTTACATCCCTCCAAAGATCTAAATATTCAGATGTTATGTTACATGCCCTTGAGCCGGGAGCGATCTTCCGCTCACCCTGGACGTGAAACTGTTTGTGTAATTTTCATCTCCCTGCACTACACATGAATCTTGATCCAATAAATTCCGCCTTGTCATTTTTTAGAATCGATGGGATTTCTCTGGCTGCGGTGTGCACTGCCTCTATCCGAATAAATCCAGCTCGCTGCCAGAGGGCAGGCGACGCCTCCCGGTTCTCCTGTCTGCAGACGCACGGGCCTGCAACGCGACACAAGGTGGCCTCCAGTGCTCACCAGGCGGTAGGTGGGGGGGTCCTTCCGGGGAGGCTGGACGACCGGCCCCCTCGGGGCCGAGGGGCCCCTCGCTGCCCCACTGTGCCTAGCAGCCCCCACTGCTTGTGGATGCTCCAGGAACCCAACAGGCCAAGCCCGCCCGCAGCGAAAACTGAAAGCAAATTCGCCGGCAGAGGAAGCCCGAACTTTCTTAGAGGCAAGTTTGCAGCGGAGACTCGGCGGAGGCTCTGGGCTGTCCGCGAAGAGGGGCAGCCTGCAGAGCCTGGGCCCTGGCGCAATGCTAGGGAAGGTGCCTCTCCTTTATTTCTCGCCAACACAGTTGCCAAAGTGCCGCGGACATCGAGGCTGTGTCGGCGGGGATTGCACCCGGGAGGAGTTAGATGGCTTTCTCAAAGTTGCAGAAAGAGCTTTCGGAGAAGCGTCTGCGCCCAGCTTGGGACCCGTTAGCCTTACCCCGGGCAAAACGATCAGAAGTTCTCTTGGGGAGGGAGGGGAAAAGGAGACATATGTAAAACTCTAAACAATTAAAAAAAAAAGTACAAAAAATAAATCATCTTGGGGAGCCCCCTGCCCAGCTCGCTCCCCTCACCTCGAGACCGAGAGTAAGTAACCTCCCGTTGCCTCTGCATGGCTAACTTCCCCGCTCGGCTGCGGTCGGCGGGCGGGGCTGGGGCGCAGAGCGGAGCCCCGAGACAGGCTTGCTTGGAGGTGAAAGGACGAGCGAGGTTCCCGCTCCCACGGGCTGCCCAGACCATCACCGCCTCCCTCCTGACTCCCTAGAGCGAGCCCTGCCCTCCGTGGGAGCGGCTGTGGGAGGGTGGGGGGCTGGCCGGGGAGCACAGTGCACGGAGGTGGGGGGCTGGGGGTGAGGGTGGGGAGTAGGGGCGGCCGCCCATCTCTCCGCGGGGCCTGTCGCCGGGCCGGCCGCGGCGGGTGAGTGATGAGGGCAGAGAAGGGCGCCCATAAATCGCGGGTGTCAGGGCGAAAAACTCTCTTTATTGTCTGCGTGATGGATGGGCCCGGGGACGAGACACCAAATACTTCGTATCGCCTTTAAATGGGAACACATTTTCCGCGGCCATAATTCATGTTTTTTAAATAGAAAGTTTGAAATGTTGCCTATATTTCACCGGCCCTGACATATTTATGAATCGCTCCCTGCATGCAAATATCATTATTTAAAGCGCCGGGGAGAGCTCGGGGGAGGGGAGGAGGCGCGGCCCCCGGGGTGTGGGAGTGGTGAACCGGAGAAATGCGGCTGGAGGGGGGCTGGCTTCTCCCTAAAGTGAGCACAATGAGGCGCGAAGGAAAGCCATGTCCCGGAGCCGAACGCACCCGGGACTATCCACGCCCGCGCCGGACCCCGGATGGAGAGCCGCTCCGGGAAGTTCGCGCGGCTCGGGGACCAGGACCGGCCTCGGACGGCCGCCGGGAGACCCAGGGGCGTTCGGCGTCCCTCTCCCAGGCCCTGATCCAAGCCGAAGGCACCTTTTCCAAGAAAGAAAGAAACAAACAATAAAATAAAAATAATTTAACCAATGCAAATAACAACAAATCCAACATGTTTCGTCTTCTCTGCCATTGCATCGATGTTTATTGATTTTTTTCATTCTGCAAACATGAGATTGTGCGCGCCCGGGCGGGGCGACCGTGAGACCCCAGTCACCACAGGGAGTGGATGGGGGGTGGGGGTGGGTAACCCTCCGGTGCTGCGGCCCCGGACCGCCCCACCTAACTAGCTCACTGCCTCTCAGTGAGCCTGCGCAAGACGCGGGGTCCGGATAGACCCGGTCCCCAAGGTTGTGGGGGGCTTCAGTCTCGCCCCCTGCGCCTCTCCTCTGCTCGGCGGCGCTCCAGGGGTCTGCGCCTGCCCCCTCTCCCCCCAGCTCCACTGTCAATACAATCGCTTTGGAAATAAGCCGGGCGCGTGTCTCAGCCTCTCTCCCCCGCCGGGGAGGCACCCACACCTGCGCCCTCCTCACTAGTGGTCTTTACCTGGGCGGCGCCCCCCATCCCTCTCGGCGCCTGCGGCCGCGCCAGGGACTGCGGAATGGAGGGAGGGAGGGGAATGGGAGGGGCAGAAAGCACCGCCTGAGACAGTCCGATCGCAGACCTGGGGCCTCCTCTTCGGATCAGGTCTTCTTGGGGGTCTTGGCGGAACTTGGTCTAGAAGCCGATTGCTCTGGGAAGAACTGGAGGGTAGCTGGGCCAGGGTACCCGGCTCCGGAGGGCCGGGAAGGCCCGGAGGCACTTCCGCTGCCCCCCGCCCCCGGCGAGGCCCCGCCCCTCCGCCGCGCCGGCCCGCCCTCGGCTCTGCTCCTGGCTCGCTAGGCTCCGCCCCAAGCTCGTTAAGCTCCGCCCCCGGATCCTTAGGCTCCGCCCCTCGGCGGGGCTGCGGGCTGTTGGGCCACTGCCCGAGGCCTGGCAGACGACCGAGTTCTCGTGGGAGGGCAGCGGGCAGCTCCTTTTTCTCCCCTGGGGTTCTGTTTTAAGATTTAAATCTCAGGAATAGAATCACCAGCAACTTCGGCCCAAACTCGCACGTAACACGCTGTCAAACTCGGGTCTCTTGGGGGTGCTGAGACCTGCGTGGCCCACGGGTGGGGCGCTCGGACAGCAGGGAATACATATTCGTGCCCACAGGCCCCACCTGTCTTTTAGGAAGAATGAAAACAAAAACGAACTCTTTGTGCCAGAGACTAAAACTGTGTATGAATCATGTCCTCACAGCAGTACCATGAATGCCCTGTTTCATAAGGAAATTGGAGCGTGGAGAGAAGAGCTTGGCCTTGCCTCACGCCCATCCCATCCATATTCTTATCCCTTCGGATCCCTTGCATCCCAACCCATCACTCTGGGGAAGGTTGCTGGGGGGAGTGTCTGAGGCCAGCTAACCAGCTCCACCAGCAGCTCAGGCCTTGCTCATCCGGAAGAGGACCTGCCCAGGGGAGGAGAAAAGTAGAAATGGGATGCGCTCAACTCAGCCCCTGGGCAGCTCCCAGCCTGGTGGGGAAACCGGACCAAAGAGCTTCCTCCTGTTGTGTCTTTGTGCTTTCTGCCAAAGCCTAAATGATCTTTTTAGAAAGCACACCAGACCATGTTCCTCTTCTGCTGAACAGCCTCTGGGTTTTCAGTGTTCTTAGGATCAAGCTGAGCCCCTGGCTGGCAGACTCTGAGGCTTGATTTGCCTCAGCTGGCTTTTCTGTCTTTGTCCCTACTCCCAGTCAACCTGAGCGCCTGCCTCTCCTTACCCAATGCACCATGCTGCTCCCACTGCAGACCTCGCCAGCCAGTGCTTTTCCTTCTATCTGGGTGACCACCTGTCCTCTTCACCTGGCTCACCGCTGCTGTTTCTTCAGGACTCAGCTTACACACCACTCCCTGCACCTTGCTACCTGGTACTGGGTCAGGGCTCCTGTAACCCTCTCTCAGAGCAGTTACCACACTGGGATTCTTGTATGGCAAGCGTGTCAAACTCAAAGACTAACACGGGCCAAAGAGTTGAGGCATGCGACCGGTGGGTGGAGAGTTTGACATGCTTGTTGAACAGAGTCTATCTCCTCCACTGGATGATAGCTTGAAGAGGTCAGGTTCTGGGGTTATTCCTTCAAGGAATTAATAAAGAAAACAGCTTTCAGATATACTATCAACCGTGCTGAGTGAATAAATAACTTTTGGGGTTTACTCCGCTTTTGGAGGCTACCAGTAACTATTCACTCTGGTTTCACAGCCTAAAATGTTTTCAAATTTTTAAAAATCCTAACCCCAGGATATTTTCTCCATTGATTTTTAGAGAGAGTGGAAGGGAGGGAGGGGGAGAGTGCTAGAGAGAAACATCCACTGGCTGCTTCCCCTATGCACATGACCAAGGATCAAGTCTGAAACCTAGGTACAAGCCCTTGATCAGTCTGAAACCTAGGTACAAGCCCTGTGGACCTGTGAACAGGTCCACAGTCTACCACTGAGCAACACCGGCCAGGGCAAGGTGTTTTCAATTTAACAAGGAAAATAATACAAATCTCATGAAAAAAAAATATTATTTTGAGTCTCTATATTGTAACTATCAAACAAGTAAATGCTCAAGGAAGTTGGAGAAGAGAAATGTCAATGGGTTTCCAGCCATTTAGTCACATTTTCAAAGTGTAAGTTGTACTGATTGACACAGTATAATGGAACCTCTCTTTCCCCAATGGCCACTCCTCCCACCATTCATGCTATTTGTCCCAAGACTCTTACCTGGTCCCCTCTCCTCTTCTTCACTTCACATACTATTACTAACAGAGTTAAGTTCTTTATTAGCTTCTAGCTGAGCTGCTGCTATAAGAATCTTCTAATTATTCTGCACATCTTCAACCTTTCTTGTCTCCATTATACATACTTTTACCAGCTTAATTTTCTTGATCACATCATTCCCTTGCTCAGAAGTCCTTAGTGGCTCTTCATAATTTAGTTCTAAACTACTTTTTAAATAGCTGTGAGTAAGATGGCATTCAAAAATTATAAAATAAAAGTCAATACCAACTCCCAAAGAACTCAAAGACACATAAAGAAAAACATTATGATCTTACCCATCTCTTTAATCTCCCACCTAATCTCCTGATATAATCTGTGTTAACAACCTGCCTTTTAACTTCTATCCCTTATTTTTAAAATATATTTTTATTGATTTCAGAGAGGAAGGGAGAGGGAGAGATAGAAAGATCAATGATGAGAGAGAATCATTGATGGGCTGCCTCCTGCACATCCCCTACTGGGGACTGAGCCTGCAACTTGAGCCTGTGCCTTTGACTGAAATCGAATTTAGTCTCTATCCCTTTTTCTATGTTCACCATAATCATATAAACTACACTCATTCACATGAGGCTATTGTGTTATTGTTTATTTATACAAAATGATTATATTGGAATCCTAGTGATTTTTATTTTTATCTGCCTATCATCAAAATCCCCCTCTTGTTAGCTATAACACAGGTCCTGCTTCTGACTGCCTAAGTGGAAGGGGTCACATTCTCCTTCGCTCTGCCCCTGACAGCTGAGGCTTCAAGAGGAGAGAGAAGATTGGAGCAGGTTGGAAATCTGACTGAGCCGCAGCAGAGACTATGGGAGCCTCTAGGAGCACTGAGCCCAAATCAATAGCATTGACTGTCTAGAGGAGGCAGAATGGAGAGGACAGTTGCCATGTCCAGTGGGATAATGATAGCCACTCAGGCAGTGGCCTAACCAGACTATTGCAGTAACACGAGGAACTGCATCTTCCATTTTTCAGCCACTTGGTTCCTGTCCATTTCCCAAATCTCAGTCTCCAGTCTTCTTACTGATTTTTTCCGAGCTTCCTGAAATCTTTCTGATAGATTTCTATTCTGCTTAAAGTAGCCAGAGCTGGATTCTGTCACTCACAACCAAGCATATCAATTGATTTGCCATAGCATGGTCCTTCAGGTAGCTTCT